TCTGCCTCCTTGAGCACATCAAATCTGTTTTCAAGTCCTACTGGTTTTTCATCACTGGGTGCGTCTACACAAGATGCTTGATGCGCAGCAGCGTGTCACAGCAAAGACAGTGCTACTATGCTACTGTGCAGTATTATTAGGCTACTGTGCAGTAGCGTCACTAAAAAGGCGTTCGCCGGCACCACGGCAAGGTAACTCTAGTTACTGCACATTTAGTTAGGACTTCACTAAGCAAGTACTAAATTAAATGCACAGTAACTACTGGAATGCAAAAATCTAGGACTCTTGGTTCCAATTCAAGAGGAGGTTGGACGATCACCTGTCTGGGGTCTTGTTCCTGCCTGTGACAGGGGGTCAGGCTGGATGATCTGTTCAGGTCCCTCCTGACCCTAGTTACTATGAAACTATGAAAATGGTAGCTTTTATTAGACCAACTGAGAAATTGCAAAAAAAAATACTATTCTGCCATATATTTTTTTTTACAATTTCTCAGTTGGCCTAATAAAAGGTATCATTTTGGAACCAAGAGTTCTAGATATTTGCATTTCTTTTTGTCTCAGACCAGCACGGCTACCACATACACCCCAGTCACTACTGTGCATTAATCAACGTGTAGACGTGACCACTGTTAGGGGCCAGTTTAAGACCCTGGCCTTTATCATCGAAGCAACTCGTGGATCAAGCCTCAGGTACATTAAAGACCAATTTGCAGTTTGTTATTGTGAGCCGGTGAAGCAGCTGCACTCCTTTGGCACAATGCAGATCACAAATGCCTTGAGCAATCTGGGTTATGGGGCTCTGGTTACGGTACAAACGACTGCGGGAGATTAGACACGCGTAGAGTCTGGTCACCTTCAGGAAACGCTGCCCTGCCGCTCTCCTCCACAAACTTTTTCACTGAAACAGGAATTGCATCCCTGGCTCTGATATCCTACTTACTCAAGCAGCCCCACCAAAAAAAAAGAAGTCTTGTAACCGAAGAAAGAGCTAACTAGAGGCTGATGCAACCAGAATACCCCACACGAGTTCTGCCCTAAAAAGGACGGCAGTGTCAGGGACTCCACCAAGTCTCCTGGAGGTAGGGGTCATTTCTGCTGTTTTTCCATGGACGGAGGCCAGCTATCACAGGGGTAAAAGGTTATGATTGATTTAAAAAACCCTCAAGGTCCAAAATGGAAAATAATCTGTAACTCCATACCTGAAACTCACATCCCAATTCATTTTGAATAGTGGGGGTTTCAGATCCATCTGGTTGCTTTTTGGTTTTCATGGTCTGCAAGATAGATGTCACAGACTCCTAACTTAGTGGCTGAATAGATGGCCTGTTCAGAATAGCGCGACTGTGTGGACTGACGCAATGTTGACAGTGGATCATTAAGTTTCCTGCAACACCTCCTGTGAGCTCTGTTCCCTGCTAGCTCCGCTTGCCAACAACTCTCCCCATCCTCTGCAACAGCCAAGTGTTCCCAAACAGCTATTCAAGAACCAGCAGGCTCCTGAAAGGGGTTGTGTGTCATCCTAAATACTGCAACTGTGTCAAGCATGGCAAAAAAAAACTCAAAGAAGATAATATTGGTACTACTCGATGCGTGTAAAGAAAAGGATAACTGTGCGTCACTAGTGAAAAGATCATTTAGTCCCTTAAAATACATCATGTTCATAGCTCTGCAGACATGCTCTGCTCTTTGTTCCTTCTCTGCTAGGAAAGGGAGAGGGGAAAAAGAAAAAAGAAAAAATCAATCACCCCCAGCAGTGCACACCCACTGCTAAGATCTACATGCATTTTGTTCATGTTTTTCTAGTTATTCCTTATTTCAGATGAGTTCAGGGGAATTGAATTAGGAAACAATAGGTTGTAATGACTGGTTCTATGGATCAAAGTTTATTTGCCCCCAAATCTGTTGTTTTCCTTGTGGCAGTGTGTTTCCTCCCGTCTTCTGGGGATTGCTGGAGTACCTGCTCCAAGGCTCAGGTTGCAATGAATGTATCTAATGATTGTAAAGGAAGAAATGGGTTTCACACTTCAGGGAGAGCCCAGCTGCTGATAAACACAGGCTTTGGGCGTACTCATTAGCTCTAGCCTGATCTATCTTCTATGAAGCATTTATGTGACTAGAAATGAAATCTCCCAATCTTTACAGAATGTAAATCTTGCATTCTTCGCAGGCATTTGATTTGGGAAGCAGAGTTGTGTTCAGATGGGATCATCGTTTGCATTGCTTAGGGCGAGACCCCAAACCATGACGAAGCTGCCCCAATGTCACCAACCAGAGAAGTCTTTGGCACTAATCAATCAATCAATCAATCATTCTCCACTACAAAGGCAAAAACTTGGTCACACTTAACATCCACCTGCCCTCAGTTTTGCCTTGTATTTGTGCCATCGTTCACTATTCTTTTCTCCTTCTTAATGTTGTGCCTGGGTAAGGTATCGAGTCAGTTGTCCTGTAAGGCTGAGAGAAAATAACCAGCCCCAAAAAATCATGCATTAGTGCAGGTGTTTTCAACAGCCCATCGTCATCTCATTTCCCCCAGCATCCCTGGGTTCCATAATGTCCGTTCGCTAGGAGAGAACCAGCAATGCCACCAAGAATAGTAAGTCACTAATCCTCCTAATACTCCTGTGTTAAGTGATTATTGGAAGGGCAGTGACTTCATGCTTACCAGGAAGGTATCGAATGCAAGTTTGAGCTCTTTCTGTAACAGAGTAGTTAGAGAAGTCAAGCTGAGAAGTACAGGTATTGCTCATCAGGTAGGACCCGAGGCCCTTCTCTTCCAGGATCCTGACTTCTCCAGTGTCCAGCACCAGCTGCTTCAGAGGAAGGTGAAAGGCTGCCCCCAGATACAGCATCTTGCTTTCCCAGCCCCAAGCTGGTCAGAAACAAGAAGATTCATAACACATTTGTTATCTTCATGCCTTGCCTGCTGTGTGATTTAACAGGCGGCTTCAACTTCTAGCCCCCTCTTCCCGATTAATCCTAACCTCAGTCCCAAAACTCTTTTTAATTTTTTTTAATGTCTCCCTGAAAAATGAAAAACTTGATCAACTGAAAATTTTAGATTTGGGCTGAAAATATTTTCATTTTTGGTAGTAAGCGGCCAAGTTTTTCCAGGTGTTTAGTTTTTCAACAGAAAGTTGATTTTTTTTTTCCTATGGCAGGATCTGCATGTCCCCACCTGCTATATAGATCCTGTTACAGCAAGTGTTTGTAGTTGGAAAAATAAGAGATTGTATGTCATCAAATCTGAAGACAGAATGTCACACTGACATCCTTTTCCTTCTCTATTCTCTGCTGAGGGCTTGCTTTCTACACAATTTGCTTGATTTCTTTGATTTTCCTGTCCATTTGAGGTTAATTAAAAGCATCGTTTTCCCAGTTATCGAGTTCCAATCCAAAAGAAATGCATTAAGTAATTCCAGCCGAGTCCATTACAGCGCGTGCTGCAGCCAGCGGGATGGAGCTGCTTCCTTTCAGCTGCAAGGGGCTGCGTGTTTGGCTTTCTGCTATTCAAATCCACAGCTCTGAATCTCTTCCCACCGCACTAATCTCATCACGCCCTGCATCCTCTCCAGTGAGCTACCACAAGTTGCTCCTCCATAGGGACTGTTCCTATTGTAGGTTTTTCCCACCCTGAAACTTTTTAAGAGTCCCTTTGAGCATCAAAAAGTCAGCGCTCATGCAATGCTAACGCTATCAAAATATAGATTCAAGTTTAATGTACTGTAGTGGAGGGGAACAGGAGATCAGTTTTACTGCTGTAAGATGTGTCAGTTAATCTAAAACTGGATCTAAAGCCCATTAGTATCAATGAAGAAGAAAACTGTTGGGCTTCGGATCAGGCTTATAATGCATGATCTTTGGATTTTGTACCATAGCCTGGTTTAAGAAACCACGTGGCAAAAAAGAGCTGGACGTCCAGCTTTCTCCCACTGTACTGCCTTCTGCACAGATTCATTTACTATATACGCAGGCCTTTAGGAAGTGCAGCGTTATCATTTTCATTTCAGCAGCAATCACCCGGAACTGAAACATCCGGAGTCGGGTTTTTGTGCTGCCCAAAGCAAACTATTCGGCTGCGTAACATGCTGTTGCAAATGCCCAACATCTTGTTAAAAAAAAACAACCCGCTGAGGATGTGTAACTTGTTGGGTTTTTTGTGCCAGTTGCCCGTGTCTGAACATTTGTCAGGAAGTGTAAAAGTGAAGCATGGAAAACTGCATCGCCGTACTGTTTGGTTATCTCCTGGAAAATTTTGTTACCACCTGGATCATGAAGTATAGAAAAATAAATATTTGAGATGTATGAGCCAGAAAAGCTTTAAATGATCCTTTAAAAGGACAGAGAGAAGTAGTCGGCCATGTCAGTCTGAAGTCGGGCAGAAGGCAGGGTGGATTGGCACTTTAAAGGCCAGAGGGTCCCAAACTTTTTGTTATTGCCTACCCCCTTCCAGATTGACCAGCTGCCCACAGGGTAGCACGCAGGAGAGCGGCATCTGTTCCCACTGCACCCATCCTTTTCTTTCCGCACACTGCAGCACTGGCTAGTCTGTGGCTCTGTGCGGTAGGGATAACAGTACCGGGCCCCCCGTCTTATGGCATTAGCTGCAGAGAATGGAAAACCCGGTCTATAAATAGACATAGAAAGCAGGCCTAATAGGAAGGATTCAAACAAAGCTTATGAGTGTCCAAATGGGAACCTAGGCTACGTAAATAGCCCTTGCGGGTCATGTTGGCCTATATTACATAACTGTGCATTAGCACCCTGGCCTGGCCGTCTCCATGTGTTGTTACATATTTGTAAAGGGTCCAGTTGCTTTTAGGGGCAGGATATCCTGACATACGCACACTCTTCTGAACCCGCCTTTCACAGCAGATGACAAAATCCTCTTGCAAGGAGGAAAGATTCAGTAAGTAATACAGGAGTATTATGAAACCTGCTAATTTGTATTATAAACTGGAGGCAAGAATGATCTGCTTGCGGTTTCTTTGGAGCGGAAATGTTTTGTGTTCTCCCATTGTGGGGGGAGGTTTGAAATAGTTAACGATATCTAAAGAAATGTTAATTCTCAGACCCACTAAGTGTTAGGTCTTGCACAATTCAATCCTACCTCCTTGTCTGGAACGTCAAGGTCATAGCTTCGACCCAAGGTAAGGGCTGCGAGTTGCGTGTTTGCCTCGCCAAAGCACCGCATATAAAATCCACTGCAGGAGGCCAGAGTTTAAAAAAAAAACCCAAAAAACCCCAAACCACCCCACACTAGATCACAAGCCTAAGAGTACGATGCCTTCAGAGCACGCTGTTTGCAAATGGGTTTCGGGCAGAGGATGCCAAAGGGACAAGAACAGACTTTCTGAAAACAGAGAGAGGCTCTTGGGATTGGAAAATAGCGTTTGGAAAACATGCTCTTCTTCCATTCACCCCTCGATTGCTTCCAACACCCTTTCATCGCTTAAGTATCACTTCTGGCAGCCCACAGCAGTGCCGCGGGAACAAGCCAGTCCACAAGGAAGGGAGGAAACTTTGAGGAGGGAAGGAGAGGACTGGAGTTTCAGATTCTTATGACCTTTTTGCTTTGAAAAGGTTGGTGCCATGAAGCATTTAGTGACACCGCTGTTTTCCAGGATGTTCCCTGTCCAACATGTTCCACGTTTATCCAGGACGTTCGTGGTGTGAACGTAGGACTAGAAGACAGGAGCTTCTCCCAGCTCCGACTTCCCTGAGCCAAAGGGTTTAATGCAGGCCTGAAGTGTCCCTACCTGTAAAATGGGGGCAACACTGCAGGGGGTCATTAGTTATCGGCCGAGACTGCCATCTGCACCATGCCAGTCCTGTCCATCACTCCAAGCCAAGGCTGAGAGCAGGACTTTGGAGAACAAGAGCAGCAGCCTGCAGGAGCCCTTGCCAAGGCTAAGCCAGCAGGAGCCCAGCCGAACTGGCCACAGCTGGAAGTCAGCATTTGTTTTTCTTTTAATGATTAATTAAACAGCCCGAACTTGTGCCTCAGGTGTTGAGGCTTCTTGCAGTAGAAAGCAGTCCAAGGTTAACCATTCACAGTCTAGGTGGTTCATCTCTACTCTGCCTTCTGCCAAGGTTAGCCTTACACTGCAAGGTAGAGGAGGGTGACGGGGATGGGGTAGCTGTGGCTTCGGTACTTACTGACCCTCGGTGTTTGCTACAGGGCCATTATGGATAAGAAGCTGGCTGCCTGCGTGAACATCCTGCCAAGGTCCTCATCCATGTGAGTGGTATTGAACCTTCCTCAAGAGGACAAGCGAACGGTCCATGCAAAGTCTGAGCCATAAGCAGCAAACCTCAGAGGTGCCAAGCACCCACGGGTGGTTCAGCACATCTCAGGATCAGGCCAGACCCCCCACCCCACTCCCGTCCACACACATGCATGTCTAGGAGCAGAAGTGACCACTGCTGCACGAGACGATTATAGTGGTGACCCTTGCACTGGCAAGGTGCTTTAAGCATATCAGGAGCAGAAGAGCAAATGCACGATCTGCTGGCCTGCAGCCATTCACTTATAGGTTACTTAGCCACAGAAACCTATGCAGAGAAGATTGGGCCTCAGCCTAGCAATTTTGTATAGGCTGTTTCCTTCCAAGGCCCTAAGGGATGCTTTGGGAAGGGAATCAGGCATGGACAGAGCTAAACATCAGGCTTTTTCCCTGAGAGAGAGACAGAGGCAGCTGTTGCCCCTTAAGTCTGAAAGTAGAGAAATGCTCTGCGAGGCTCTTGGGCCTTTCACCCAGTCATCTTAAAGCTTGCTTTGTAGACGTTAGTGAACCAAGTCCCATAGCATTCCCAGGGAAGAAGAGCTGTGTTAATAGCCTCCTTTCACCAACCAGGAGCTGGAGCCTCTGAACTCCCTGAGCTGCAGCAACTGGTCATTTATGAGGCCCCATAGTGTTACCTTCCTGGTCCCCAGCCCTACCTGTCCACCTCAGCCCTACGTGCAACACGTGTAGGGTGCGACTCAATGCCATAAAGAACCGTGACCACGGAGAGGGTTGGAACAGGCAGAATAAACCCCGCCGGGGGCAGAGGTGACTGCAAGCATTTACCATATCTGCTGCTTTCTCTTCTCTTCAATGTAGGTATTTTTGGAAAGGGGAAATCGAGGAAGCCACTGAAGTCCTGCTAGTAAGTGTCCCACCAGACGCACGGTGGTGAGAGGCGCCCCATTTGCGTCACATACGCTGTGTTGAGGAATTGTTCATGTTCAGGGGACTGTTCCCAGGCCCGGCAGCATGACCCAGCCCAAGGCAGCGGTGACCCGAAATCGCTACCGTTCGGTGGCTGTTGAAATGGGGCAGTGGGCATGGGTGCATTCAGGTCACCGGGTCCCTAGCAGAGATGCCACAGGCTGAAAGAGCTGCAGCAGCTGAAAGCTGGCTTCCAGGAAGGCAGCATCCACCACAGGGCACAGGCCAGTGGGGAGAAGACCTATACTGCATTCAGCTGGGCTTTCAATCCAGCTCGCTTCATGAGCTCTACCTCAATGCAAGAACGTGTATTATCGTGTGCATTATGGTTGAGCGGTCACCCAGCAATGCTGGGCACTTTATGAACGCAGGGCAGAAGACTGCCCTTCATCTGAATAATTAACCGTCTAAGCAGGCAAGACAGAGTTATCTTCATCTCCCCCTTTACAGACGGAGAACTGAGGCATGGAAAGAGCGAGCGATGTGCCCAAGACCACACAGGGGGAGCTGGGAACTGAACCCACAGCTCCAGTGTCCCGTTGCAGAGCCTTACGCACAAAGTCATGCTTCTTTCTCCTTCCCGACTGTCCGGCATTATTTGAATGATTTGCATAGGTCATAATATTGCCATGAGACTTCCTAAGGGACTGCAATTCCCTGGGAAGCCTTAAAGCAGAGGCCACCAGCAGTAGGGGTGGTGTGGTGTGAACAATTCAGCTGCTCCAGGTTCTCTTTTTCTTTTACAGTTGGTGAAAACGAGGACATCGAAAATCCCCGAGTTATCGGACTACGTCAGGTAAGGTTCCTGCTCAGCGTGGCTGTCTTTTTTTCGGTCTCCTCTAAATCTGCTGTCCCCAACTCAACCAGAGAGAGGGAAAAGCTGTTTCCTCTCTAGACACAACAGTAGGTTTTTAAATCCTTGATCTTTTCTGCTTCGGCGTACGCCAAATAAAACCAAACACAGCATGGGCACCATAGCAGTTCAAGGATTGCGCTGGCAGGAACAATCCAGCGGCTTTCGGGTTGAAATGGAGCCCACGTCCTTCAAAAGAGTCTCTGTGGTTCATTGACATGAGGGGCCTTCAGCTTTTGTGTTGCAGTCAGGGGAGATTGATGGGCTCCGTGTAAAACTGGGAGAAACTGAGCAGTTCGGGCTGCATTTCGCCAAGTACTTTTTTCCCCAGCCTACAGTTGGCTTGTGCAGTTCATTATCACAAAGCATCCATAGGGTCAAGAGCAACTGAGTTACCAGGACCTTAGCTGTATATTTAAATATATATATATACTTGTTGTTTATATGGATAACAAGAACATCTGGCTTCAAAAGGAATGAAATAAAGGTTAGGGAGACATGGCCACCCTCTTGCTCAAGGCTTAACTCTTGGGGACAGGAAGAAGACTTTCCTTTAAGACAGGTTATCCTATAACTACCTACTATAGGGATGGTTATTTTGCATCTTCTGAATTATCTAGCGCTGGCTGACAGAGTCGGTATGTGGGACGCTGATATGTTGCAGTCTAGCAGTTTCTCCTGCCATGTTGAACCCAAAAGTCCAAGCAAAAATCTAATTTAATGATGAAAAGGGCCACCAAAGTGCTTTGAAGTTCACGCCAGCACTCTAGTCCGAGGTTGGCACGTCTTGCTCTGAACTGAAACCTCTCGTGGCTGTAAGATGGAGCCTGTTTCTGCTGCAGGGATGATTAATCACATGTGGGGGGGGTGTTTTCTGTTTTAGATCCATGCATCCTTTTGAAATTCCTGAATTTATCAGCCTGCCCATTGATCAAGGAAACCCTCTCTATTTAAAATGGATTGAAGAAGGCGTCCCAGACAAATAGTTGGAACGTACCACTTGATTATCCTTCTCAGGACACGTACCTGCCCGGCTTTTCCTTCCTGGGAGAAATAGAAGAGGTTTGCTTTGCTGGTCTGTTCTCTGTTGAGCGCAGGTGGGAGCGGCGCTTCCCTGGGGGTTGTTGGTAGCGCACACGCTTGGCGTTTGGGATAGAAGTGAAGACCCGCTTGAAATACAGATTAATGAACACCCCGTGTCTGCGTGAACCTGCGCTCCAGAGGGGCTGCCACACGGGACATGGGAAGAGCTGGGGTTCGGGTCCGGAGGCCGTCTGGAGTTGGGAAGGATCAGGGCCACGGGGGCTCTGTGGCTTTTCTGGCTGGCTGCTGGCCACCCCATCTGGCCGTCTTCCTTGCAGGGGGAGGACTGAAGCTAAAGAAAGAAGAAGGTCCTGCAGACCCTCAGTCCTGTTTCCCAAATAAAAGCAGATCAGGCTCCAGCAGGTGCACCAAAATCCAGGGGAACGTCCAAAACCAGATAGACATCCCGAGCGCTGGCTACGCAGCCTTTGGGACAGGGGTCCAGACAGCGCGAACAACCTCCGCTGGGCAGAGGAGAAAGCTGGGATGGGAACACAAAGGGTGTCTGAAGCAAACACTTTTCACCCTGATAGAGCCTGGCAGTGCAGAGAGACGCTCAGGTTTTAATAGGATCGACTGCTTGTAATAGGTTTGGTCTACTACGGTGTAAGTTATGGAGCAGTATTTAGTCACTTATATCGGATGCATTAATAAGCAAGAGTACGTCTTACTTCTGGAGGCCGGCTTGCTCCTGACACCTCTTACAGGTAACAGAAGGGCATTTGGGTTGAACCTGGAAGTCCAACCTGGCACAGATTTCACCAGGGGAGAGAAGCATTAGTAGGGTTGGAGGGTACATGCGCCAAGGCCTTTCACTGTCCACTCTTGACTTATTTTTAGGTGCTATGAATGTTTCAGTGCTTAATGTAAGTAGAGGGACTGGGCCCTGGGATAACCCCTGTTTTTGCAAAAAAGAGCCATGAGCATATTCATGAGAAGCAGCAGCAGTTTCATAACACATCCAGAATGGCTTATTTCTGCCATCTCAGATTTATACCGGCAGACACACAAGCTGCCTTATAGTTGTGTGATTAAGTGATACGGCCTGGTGTGGAGGGTTGTTTAGCTAGCGAGTCATTGGGGGTCATTTAGTTGACTTTCCAATGGCATCGTGAAAGAAAGACGTGGCCCCCTTTGCCTGCCGTTGTACTGGGCTGTTGTACTCGCCCCAACGTCGCGGACCTGGCCGGGAGAGCTGATGGGTGGCATGCGTCAGGGACCGAACGGGCCATGAAGACTGAGCTGCCCCTGAAAACTGACTTCAGCAGTTCACGCTGAACATACCTTGGCAGAGGGGAAGTTTCTGTGCTCTCCCAGGGGATAGAAAGGACTCGAGTCTCCGGAGCTGTCAGGCCTGCCCCCCTTTCTAGCGCCTGGATGGATCTCACTCCCCTGCAGGCTCCGCGTACATTTGTAATCAAAGCACAAAACCACACCTGAACGAAATCAGAGCAATTCTCCTTCTTCCACCCTGGGACCCAAGCCAGGCACCAGCAGATTCTGCGCTGCATTACTTACCTTCCTCTTGCTTCATAAGCTCTCATCTCAAGAGTTAAAACACGGGTACATTACCTCCTCTCTAGTCAATTCAGGGCTCCCATTAAGCTGTTTGCTTCATGGTCCGGCTTAAAAGATTCCCCACATTCCTCCGATTCTTGGACCGGCGCTAAAGACTAATCCCGTTACCGAAGGGCGAGGGTGCGCTCCTGTAATAAAGCAAATAGCCACCTTTGCTTTCATGCTGCTGCAGATGAGATTTTGCTGCATAATACAGGAAAGCACTCCTCCAACCAGCTCCGTGTCCCGCGTAGCGGAGTCCTACCTGCACACACCAACCGGAGACGGGCTTTGCTCCTTGTCGCAGCAGAGTGTCGTCATAGGGTATAAAGCGGGCCGAGGACTGAGCCATATCAGCCTTGCTTTTGGTTGGTCCCTGTTGAGTAGAGAGACCTGGACCAGTGTCTTTTAGCAAGCGCCTTGCTGGGCCATGCAGCCAAGAGGTCCCTCGGAGCTGAGCAGGGGCAAGCTGGACCTCAGCAACCTGCAGATATAGCAGGGAGCAGGGCTGAGGAGTCACCTGCTTTCTGAATCTCTCTGTGCATCAAAATATTGCGTCAAAATATTTTTGTATCAAAATAATTACCCGTGAGGGGTGGTATGTAAATGCATGCCACTTAATGCCACCTCAACAAAACATCTCTGGCCACCTTTTCCCTCTGGGGCGATGCAGATCGGAGGGGAAACATCTGCAGGGAAGCAGAACGAGTTGGTACAGTGCTTCGCTCGCATTAGTCTGTCCTTACGTTCTCTTCTCAACAGCCAGGCAAGTTATGTGTTTCACCCGGAGGTGGCAGCATTTCACAGATGGACAAAAGTGATTCTCAGAGGTAATTTCCATAGCTCATAAATACTCCTGTATGGAGAGAGAGAGGGGGAGGGAAGGAGAGGGAGAGCATGCACACCCCAAAATAAAGCTTCTTGCATGAGAGGAAAGAAAGCACCCCTGAGCCAGTCAATATAGTAAATAGCCAAAGCAAAGGAATGCATTTGCCCCGGGTATAAAAGCACTGAAAGGCATTTGATCGTCCAAATCCCCCCTGCAGGAAGCATTAGCTATATTAATGTCAGCCTGAAATACAACAGGGTCAAAGTGACTAAAAATGCCCTGTGCTGCCTATTAAAGAAAGAGCAGCACTACCATCACCCCGAGCCTTCAGCCTGGTTTGTGCAAGGTTGCAGGAGCAGCATGGACTCCTACCCGGCCCGAGCTCAGTAAGGGGGAGACGACCGCAAGCCAGTAATGTTAAAAAAGACTTTTTAATTGTACATCAGACGCATTAATTACAACTCGAATACAACAAAAGTTGGTTATTAAAAGCAGCAACTTGAAATCATAAATCTTTAGAAGGTGCAAAGAATTGTTATAAGTTCTATGAGGCCTAACGCAAAATATTCTCTGGAATAAAATCTTTTTAAAGGCTCCCCCCTTCACCTCTGCAGCCAACTGGGGGTGGGGATTTGCCGGCAGGGCCTGCGCGGTGCCAGCTGGCTGGGGCAGGGACGGGTTTGAACGTGCGATGGCTTCTCAGATTGCGCCCGGCAAGGATTTAAAAAGCCTGCACGTGCTGGCGGTGCTGCTGTACGGTGCCCGGCATCCCCCACCCCACGCAGCGACTTAGACCAGGGGTTCTCAGCCTTTGCAGACTCAAAACACCCCTCTGAATTGTCACTTGATTTTTGACTACAGAAAAAACAACAGAGCAATTCTTCCTTTGCAAAGAGCTCAAGGAAGACCCCAATGGGGCAGAATGGTTTGAACACTGTGGATTCCTCTTTGCGAATCGTGAAGGCACACCTACCAGGGCTAACACTGGGTGACTCCCAGCGGCACCCCTCAAAGGACCTCAAGGCATCCTACAATGCTGCAGCACCCTGTTGAGACTCACCGACTTAGTTCTCCAAAGCTTTGCAGGCACTTGTGAAAGGTCAATGCATTAAATGAACATTTGGTAACAAAAATCCAAGGGAAAACAAGTACACCGTGCACCGTCAGCCCCTGACGGAGCAAGCAGACCCCTCGGAGCGACCGGTGGAGCAGAGAGCACCAGTTGTTCTCACAGAGAAACCGCTCCCCACCTAGAAACCAGATCAGCTCTTGACGTTGGAGCCAAACTCCCCACTGGAAAATAAAATCAATCCATGGCCTTTATTTAAACCCCGCTCTTGCACTCTGCCCTGCTAGATCCCCACATCGCTACCAGCCACAGCCCAGCTCTTCTGCTGGAAAAGGAGAGTCCGCACCTGGCAAGCTCAGACCGCATTCTTTGTGCGTCTGCTGATTGCACCAGTAATGACTGTAGCAGGACCGAGACGGGCCCTCCTGCTAATGCATCTGCAGAGCCTGAGTCTGTGGACACCAGCCCCGCAGGTCCTCACTGATGATGTCTGTGGGGTGTCAGATCTTGGCCAGAAGAATGAACTTTTTGCTACTGTCTTTTAAAGCTCTGGTTACCTCCACCTGGAGCCTACTCCCCTGCTCTGTCAGATCTAAAACCCGAATGGCCTGTTGCACCACGAGCTTCGTGCAGCAGAGACTACGGCAGTTAACAGCACTCTGGATGTGCAAAGTGTCCTATGGAGGCCAAGCTCCTTCCCTTCACCTTTGGAAAGCGGTAGGCATTATCCCACCTGCATTTCAAATGCAGAAGGAATGTGGCTGTGGTTTTCAGCAGTTACCCTGGGGCTCTTGTAGTACGTGCTAAAACCAAGGATCAGGTTTATCCTCCTACTGCCTCTTTGGCTATTAGGATGTGATCAAAGCACTTATCTGGCAAGGGACGGACCAGCCACACAACTTGGACACTTCATCTAACTGTGTGAAACAGGAGGGGAGAAAACAAAGCACAATCAGCTTTTGTTCCAAAGTGCCCGACCCAAAGTCTATATTGCAGCTACTGGAAAGTCCTGTTGACTTCAGCGGGTTTGAGTAAGGCCCAAAGAGACTTATTAGCGTGCAGAGAAAGGCCCCAATCTTGCAACTGGACCCATGCCAGCAAGCCTAGGTGGAGAGCTGGCTGCAAGGGCCAGCTCAGCTTCGCTTCACTCACATGAAGAGGCTACAAATGCTTTCCATGCACTTGAATAGCTTATCCGAAGGCTGCAAACAGACATCACATTCATCTCAGGATACACCATTTTGTTCTGGGGCAAGTGCAGCCATTCAGACGTCCACGTGTGTTGTCCCGGGATAAATCCTAAAAAGGTTCCTGGGATAGGAAATGCTAACGGTTATCCTGGGACATTGTAAAGTGGCATCTGAATGGCTGTCCCGGGATAGCATCACTAAATCAGTGGTAGGGAAGCACCAGTGCATTCAGCCACTCATTAAACCTTGATTAGCAGGGTGATGTGTGTCCACGCCAATCCTGGGATATTTCTGTTCTGGGACAACTTGTCCAGGGACCAATGCACTGTCTGTTCCTAGCTAGTAGAGACATCATAATACTGGTTTTAAAGTCGGTCTCCCTCCACTGGAATCAAACCAGTCCCAACTGCAGAGCCTGCTTCCCACTCGGAGGCAGCAGATCACATCAGACACCAGAGAGATGA